AATTAACTTTTCAAATTTGGGAAGTCATGCTAAACTTTTTGCTTTAGTTCTAACCATGAGTTGGCTTTATAAAATATTAAAGTGTCATCTGTGAATCCCAAAACTTCCCCTGAACTCTCGATGATATAAAGAATATAGAATTGGACCGAGTACCGAACCTTGTGGAATACCGTAAGTTATGAATCTTAGATCACTGTAGACACAATCTACCCGTGTACTTGTTATCGGTTTGTAAGATAGCTTTCAAATAATTTGAATGATGTGTCCCTTATTACTGCTTCTTCTAAGGGGCATGCATGAACTGGGCACTCTAAAAATTATATTGCAAGGGTTGCTTCAGGTACCTGCGAAATTTTTATCGAATTGAGCACTGCCCATGGGATTATCCTTTTTCATCCCCTTTACCTAAATATTTTTCTAATATGTTACAAAATCAAATTAGTGTAGGTAATTATCTTAAACCCCTCCTTAATAATTTTCTAATGTTTTAAACACCAACAAATTTGTATAATAAGTAATGAAACCTCAAAATTAAAAATTAGTTCATATATCTTCTTGGTTAGTAAGTACTTGCAAAATAATGTGTTGATACCTACCTTTAAATTTGTGTTTTACAACATGGAAGCAGAGTTTCATTTAAGTGAACGTGGAAAAGAAGTTTTTGTGTTAGACGAAGCAAAATTTAGTTTCTGCAAAATGTTAAAAAATGGAGAGATATTTTGGCGATGTACTGTGAGAAGTTTTAAAGCCAAAGTATGGACCTTGGGTGAAGAAAAGGTAATTTCTAGAAGTGAATTAACACATAATCACGTTAAAGATATTAAATGAACTAGGTCTAGTGACCGAATATAAAAGTACAAATAGTGAAGCAGGAAAATGGCTAAATTATATATTTGGTTTGCCATTTTTAGACCATTCCCAAGTAGAAGACTACTATATTTTTATTCAGAAACTGAATGGTTTTCAGACAGACACATACATAAAATTACAAAGTTTAAATGAAAAAATGAGGATAGAAGATCCAGAAACAAGACGTAGACATGAGATTTAAAATAAAAATAGACAATTATACAAACGACGAAAAATTTAATTTCGTACAATGTTTAGGTTATTTTTATAAACAATAAGTAGGTATCATTATTAAAGGTATTATAGTACGTATAATTATGTATTATGTGTAGTTTTCATATTATTATGTATTATGTATATTTATGTACTATTATTAAAGTTTTTATTGTATTTTGTATATATTTTAAAAAAATGTACCTATATATTGAACTTGTAATAATAAGGTAGTTTTCAAATGAATCAGATTTTTTAGTATTTGATAGATAAATTTGTTTCCATTTCAAAGAGTCAACATCAGTAATATCAGTGTCACTAGGTAAGCCTAATCCGGTATGATTTGCGATTTAGGATCGCCCGCCGAGGCACCGGTCAAACAAGCGTTCATTATTGATGCCCAGTTCGAGTAGTAAGCAAATTTTTAATCCTCTATCGAGTTTGCGGTTCGAGTAAACCTTTTATATTCTCAGGTAGATAGTGTCTAATTCGAGGCCGCCGCTTCTAAGGTATCCAAAAGTAAACGGTGGCTGACAGTGTCAAATGCTTTTAAAAGATCTAGATATACACAAAAACAGGGACTGCTTTCATCTAGAGTAGTTAATATTTTGGTAGATAGTGCTATAATAGCATTTTCCGTAGAGATATGTTTTTTAAAACCATATTGTTTATCAGATATTATACCATATTTTAATGTAAAATTTACTAATCGGTTTACAAGAGCTTTTTCAAAATCCTTTGATAAATGTGTTATTAATGAAATTGGTCTATAATTTGTCGGCAGAATTATTGTCTGGTTAAATATATTAGGCTATATACCAGAATCAAAAGTTAAGTTTATCAAATGATTTAGAGGTGTTACAATAAATTTAGATATATCTTTTAATATTACCTCCTTAATATTGTCAATACCAGGACTTTTATTAGATTTTAACTCGTTAATAATAGTTTCAATACCTAAATGTGAAAGTAAATCCAGTTATATTACAAGAGAACACAATATTTTTAATAGAAAATAAATAAAAACGGTTTGTTATTTTAATAAATTTAATTTTCCTTTCGTCCTTCAAAATCTGAATGATAAACCGTTACTTCTTAAAAATGCTCGGAAAGTACCGAGATTGAAATTGGTCAGCAAACAGCTTCAGCCATTGTTTATCTAAACAAAAATAGCTCTACCAACGTCATTTGATAGCCTCTTTCAGCCGAGATTATAATTTCTATTTAAATACCTTCGTTCATCAAAGGCGGATATCCACTCTTCAATAGAAGAATGAAGAATCTAATAAACGAAGTCTGATTGGAACCTGAAAATTGGCGAAATGAAGATAATGGTAGTTAACTTTTTACCTTTCAGAAGTCAAAAGTGCAATCATGCAAATTACAATTTATTTTAGCTTTTTTCCAAGTTAAAAATACAAATTATTTTATAATATATTGTTTATAGAAATGACAAAATCATCAAAAATATTATTAATCAATCACAGACTATCGAAACAAAATATGAAAAATAGAATGATCAACAAATTAGGATTATTGTTATTGCTGTGTGGTTCTAATATACTTAAGTGATGTCAATTTTTAAGTGTCACTAAGTGGTGCGTTCAATTCAACATCTATGTGTTGGTTTGGTCGTTGGCTTTGTTCTGTATAACAAACAAAACTTCGACACAAGCTGATTGGTCTATTCCCGATGACGTACACATTTCAAATGTTAAATTATAATTGGTTTTACTTTAAATACTTTTGGCTTTTTTTAACAAACTGATTATTTAGAATAACTTGTAAAGTGATTATTACAATATAATTTATATCATATCTAAACATTGCCCATTTGAGTAATTTTTTTTTAAATTGAAACACCTTTTAGTTACACAGTGGTCTAAAGACAAAGTGAAAAACAAATAAATGACAAAATCTTTGTTTTTACGATACAATTGCAGGAAAGTTTAACAATTCATCAATTTTAATTTTCAAGGAAACTGTGGATATCCACCCCGAGTGATCGAAAGCGATCACCTCCCGGCAAAAATCGATTAAAATAATATATGCTTAGTCAAGTGCTTTTCATTTTTATGGGAAACCATCTTGCGTGCATCTCGGTAAATCATCTTCAAAAAAAAGGAGGAAGTTACCAACATTAATCTTATTGTCTACTTTGAAAGGAACGGGATACCTTTTAAATTCAACATAGTCCTTTAGTTTCAGGAAACAAAATTTACAGATTATAATTCTGTACTAAATTATGAATAAAATAGAAACCCAACGTGAGGCACACAAAAAATGAATAGACTGTTGAATAAAAAAATCAATTAAGTTTTTCTCTTCCTGTTATTTTCAAGCTGTGCTTTCTAACTTATTTCAAATTTTTTCTTTTCTTGGTTTTTCCAAGCTGTGTTTCTATCGAACGAACTATACAGAGTGGCCGCTTTTTAATTGAAATTGTATTGCATCGGATTTGTGAAGTTAGCATCTCATATTTGAAGAAGATTTCTTATGGCATCCGGTACAAAACATGAGGAAAAATTATAGTTATAGTTATAGAGTGCATATATATTCCTAATGGTTTCAATTAAAGATCTGCCACTCCTGAAAGAATTATAATTCATTATTCACAATAATTCTAGCGAAAGTGAGATGCTGTAATATTCCTAGAAAATATAATACTAGACTACATCTGCATGGATTCTCAAAGAATTATATTTTTTAGAACTACTTATAATAAGTCATATGACAGATTCAGTAAGAGTTTTTATTTAATTCGAATCACAAGTAGGACTATATCATCAGCATAAAAAATTAAATGTTCAATAAAGTTATTCAACTGAATAATATTATTGATGTACAATTAGAAAAGTATTGGACCTAGAACTGTTCCTTGAGGTTATCTAATTTTTCCTTTGGATTCTGTTTAATAAATAATTGGATAGCAAATTAAAGACAGTACCTCGAACACCATAATTGCTTAATTTGCTTATTAAAATTTAATAAGAGACCGTATAAAAAGCTTTGACAAGGTCGAGGAAAATTGTTATGTATTTCAATGATTCGTCCACTAGATAGCTTAACTGTGTTTTCTAGGAAATGTATTACTGCATTTTCAGTGTTTAAAATTTTGTACAAAACCATATTGTCTATTATAATACTCTTTGTGTTTGTAAAAAAGTTCACTGGTTGTTTTTTAAAGGGCTGAAATTATTAATAACGGATATGGGTCTATAGTATTTTTGTAAGTCGTAGTAATTAACGATTGCTTCCATTCTCATAAAATGATTTCACTCAAAAAACAGTTTTTAATTATATAATTACTAGTGGCGTTGTTAGTTGTTAGACATTTTTGCTCTTTTTCTTTATTTTTTTAATTTTTTTTTGCTTTTTCCTTTTTGTGCTTTTTGCTTTTTACTTTTTTTTTCCTTTTTGCTTTTTCTTCATGTTTTTTGCTTTTTTGTTTCTTGGTTTTTTGTTTTTTTTTGCTTATTTGGTCTTTTTTTGTTTTTTGTTTTTTTTTGGATTTTTGTGCCTTTTTTACTTTTTAGTTTTTTGCTTTTTGTTTTCTTTTGTCTTTTTTTTGGCTTTTTCGGGCTTTCTTTGGCCCTTTTTAGCTTTTTTGGCTTTGGTTTTTTTGGCTTTGGTTTTTTTGGGTTGTTTGGCTTTTTTGCATTTATGCTTTTTTTTGTATTTTTTTTGCATTTTTTACATTTTTTACATTTTTTGCATTTTTTGCATTTTTTTTATTTTTTGCATTTTTTGCATTTTTTGCATTTTTTGCATTTTTTGCATTTTTTGCATTTTTTGCATTTTTTGCATTTTTTGCATTTTTTGCATTTTTTTGCATTTTTTGCATTTTTGCATTTTATTGCATTTTATTGCATTTTATTGCATTTTATTGCATTTTATTGCATTTTATTGCATTTTATTGCATTTTATTGCATTTTTTGCTTTTTTGTTTTTGCGTTTTTTGTTTTTATGATTGTTTATTTTTGGCTTTTTGCTTTTTCGCCCTTTTCGCCTTTTTCTCCTTTTTTCATCTTTTTTGAATTTTTTTTTTCGGCTTTTCTGCTTTTCAACTTTTTTGGCTTTTTGAGCTTTTCGGCTTTTTGACTTTTCTGACTTTTTAATTTTTTACTTTTTTAACATTTGGCTTTTTGACTTTTTGATTTTTTGTTTCCTTTTGTCTTTTTTTTACTGTTTGAACTTTCTTTGACTTTTTGGCTTTTCTGACTTTGGCTTTTATTGGCTTTTTTTGGCCCTTTTTTTATTTTTGGCTTTTCGTCCTTTTTTTCTTCACCTTTTTTTGGTTTATTTTGACCTTTCTGATTATTTTGACTTTTTGGTTTTTGCTTATTTAGCATTTTTTGGATTTTTTTTATTTTTCTGGCTTTTTTGACTTTTTGGTTTTTTGAACATACATTTGAACTGCTGCTTTTGGCTTTTTCGTCCTTTTTTTTTTCCTTTTTTGGTTTATTTTGACTTTTTTGGCTTCTTGGCTTTTTTGTTTTTTCTTTTACTTTTTTCCTTTTTGCATTTTTTGGATTTTTGGCTTTTTTACTTTTTTATTTTTTGTCTCTGCTTTTTTGGCTTTTTATTTCTGTGGGCTTTTTTAGCTTTTTTGTTTTTTTTTGTTTTTTGGACTTTTTGATCTTTTTTGGCTTTTGGTTTCTTTTGGATTTTGTTTTTTTTGCTTTTTTTGGCTTTTTTAATTTTTTTGGCTTTTTTGACATTTTGACTTTTTTACTTTTTTTCTTTTGGGTTTTTTGGTTTGGAACCCTTAGCGCGAGTCCGACTCGAATTTGGCCAGATTTTAAAGTCATGACTATTTTACTTTGAAAAAAATCATTTTTTGTTTTGTATAATTTTATATCCATATTCCAGTTTGATTGAATCATTTTTTATAATTTTTTCTTCATGCTATCTCTATATTAAATGAAAATATACGCTTAGCTTTTAAAATGTAATTGCTTATTTTAAATAATTCATAATGCAGGTTCGTATTAGTTAACTTACCTGATGATGTTCAAATCGTCCGAAACGTTGACTAATCAGAATATATTTCCACATCTTTGCATTCAGAATTGAACATACATTAAAATAATATTTCAAAATAACACTGGTCCATAACAAATAAAGTTGATGGTGGTCCCGCATTTACGAAACGTCAGATATCAAAATTAAATGCGTTGTAATATGTACTACATGATATAAAATATCTTAAATTATTTTTTATTTTAAATAAGTAGAATAAAGAAATTGAACTAATTTGTTTATCGACTATCTTGGAAAGCGGCCTTGATTTTTAGAATATACAACTTTTGTCCCCAGAAACAAACCTTGCATTACAAACATTTACGATATAGTAATACAACTCAAAAAGTGACTACCCTGTAAATAATCGCGATTACGTTTTTATTAGTGTAGGTATAACAAATACTCGGCTACCTACAAGCTACTTAATTTTAGCAAGGTCTCGTATATCCAGATATAAAACATAATTATCATAGAAACATCCTCGAACAGTCTATTTGGGACGAGGTTATTCAAAGTTTTAATACACAATCCCGACAAATACAGAAATGCATAATTTCGATATTCTGGAAAAGCAAAATTGTTTTACTATACGTAGCACACGGCCGATTTGCCAGAAAACTCGACCATTTTAACTTCCAAAACTGACTCATTTGCTTTAATTCGATGGATCATTAGACATTGAAAGTTTCCAAATGGAAACTATTATCTGGCTATTTATCCGATGGAAAGCACCGAGGGGGTTGTTAAAGGAGAAATAAAATGGTTGGAGGGATATCATTATAATCAAATATTTTTATTTAATGATAGTCAGTAAACTTGGATATCGCAACCCCGCTAAAAAACTGTCACAACTCAAAACATTCCTTGAGTGAGTTAAATTAAAATTACTAAATATATCTTCTGCAAAACCGTCATTTCTTTAATTCATAAATTTATCACTAGCTAGCAGAAGTTGACACTTTTGTTTCGTGACAGTTTCTGTTGGACAGTCTTATTTCACTTTATACCTGTATGGACGTAGCAGTTATTTAAGTTTCTTCGAGAAATTGGTATTATTTTGTAATATGACGGTTTTTTGTATATGATATTTGCTACATTTAATAATAAAGTCGTTTATTTTAAGTCGTGACCTTTTTTTTAAAGGTTTTTACAAAAAAAAACGACTAATAAGCTAACTAAAGTGCAATAAATGATTACTTATCAAATCAAAAATTTCGTACTTCAATGAACAATTCCAGTTTATGTGCAAATTATGATGCTTTCTCTAAAATAACTTTTGACACCTTAAATCAATTTATACCACTGGAGAAGAGGAAGAAAAATTTGTTAAAACCATAGCTTAATAAACAATTGTTTAAAGAAATTGGAGAAAAAGGATAAATATGTATACTGGTACTAAGGATGATCGTGACTACAGAAATTACAGAACCCAAAATAATCGTCTGAAATCTTTAATATGTGAAGCCAGAAGAACATAAGAAAATAGCTTAGTTAGAGCTGGTAACAAATCATTCTATACATATATTAAAAGATCTTTATGTTCAAATAACACAACAATTATTAACTTAAAAGATGTAGATTCTAAAATATTAATTATTGATCCCTCAAAGATAGCTAAAAGGTTTGCTAATCAGAGTGTCTACAACCAAATCCCTGGCAATAACCATACAACTCTTACAACCCCTAGATGAACTTAAAATTTAGTAATGATCTTTTTTACTCTTGAAAATGCTAGTGAAGCTATCCGCTGTCTGAAAACTAATTCAAGTCCTGGAAGTGATGAAATACCTATTTTCTTACAAAAATATGTTGAATCGCTAAAAGCTATGGAGACTATACTCAAACAAATAATGATTGAGTGTGAACCGTGTTTTCATATCTCAATTTTACCTTACTAGTTTTTAGCAGAATCAAAATAGAGTAAGTTGTAAGTTGTGGCAAATTATAGATAATATACAATCATAGTACTAATAAAAGATATTAATTATAACAAAAATCAGTAATGAGTAATACTTATACATTTCTTGATCATTTAAAATTAATTATTTTATGGATTGTTCAGTATTTGTTACAACTAATGGCATCGGTGTACGGAGCGATATTTGTGTCTTTGTCTGTTACGCGTAAAATCCATTCGATGACGTTCTCAGTAGTGTATTTCTAACCACGAGCGTAACATCGGGTTTTGAATTATACGGTGTGAATTGTAAGTTTTACAGTTAAGTTAGTAAGTAATCGACGTGTTGTAAGAACAATTGGTGAAAATATTAGTGCTAATAAGTGTTTAAACATTAAATAATAATATTTCTACACCGTTCTAAAACTATGCAAAAAATGGAAGACATTGAAGGGCCTTCAACGTCGAAAAAGGTAAAACGGTCGAAGTCTCGGTCGCTAAGTGAAAAACAAATTGTAATTCGAGTATTTCACTGTCTTGAAAGAGATCATCAGCGACCAAAAGATAACTTAGTGCATATGTGCTGTAATTCTACGGATGTACCTCCGAATAACCAACCGGGCGTTCCAACATCATTAACTTCCACAATTACAAAAGATAAATTAGTTGATATGTGCTCTGATTATACGGGTGTACCAAAATCATCAGTTTACAAAATACTAAGAGAAAACAAAATTCATAGTGTCGAAAGTAACAGGTGTCAAATGTAACAAATCCTATCACTGGGATATTTTGTGTGAACTCGAGTAACCGCTTAATTGAGCACATTGGCAACGCTGTGGTAAATTTGGCGCGTAGAGCACGTGTAGTTTGAGTGTGTCGTTTGTTTTTATAATATTTAATGTAAAAGTGAAAATCAATTTTCCTGTTATTTTGTTTATCAGAATAATACGGTTAGAAAGACTGCTATTTAAGGTAGGTGTCCAAATAAAGGGATATGTAAGCTATATAAATGTAGTTGTAAGGATATGTTTTTAACTTATCTAAAAAATAAAAAATATGTTTTGAATGTCTTTGGGTGTCAACATATTAAATTGTGTCGTTTGTAACATGTTACAATTGACACCCTACAATAATTTTTAGATATTACAACTACCCTGTCATATTTATTGTTTTTTTTTTTTTTTTCAGATATAAGTATGGTGAAACCACGCGCACGAAAAACTGAAACAGACATATTTTTGAGGAAGCAGCAAGAATAGTCATAGATAATAATCAAATAAGAAAGGTAGCAAAAGATTATGAAATGTGTCATGTTACCTCATACCGGTTCGTAAAAAAAATGCGCAATAATGGAGAATTTAAAGTAGGATATAATCCATAAAACAAAGTTTTTAACACTGATCAAGAGCTACAGCTTGTCAAATATTGTGAAAAGTCAGTAGATTTATATTTCGGTCTTACCGCAAAAGACCTTAGAAAACTTGCATATAGTTAAGCCCAAACAAATCGGTTACGTTATCCTGCGAATTGGGACACAGCAGAACTTGCTTCTGAAGATTGATTAAGAGCATTTTTAAGAAGAAACTCACAACTTTCTTTATGAACGCCACAAGCAGCAAGCCTTTTGCATTCAACGAATTTTAACACAGAAAATGTTTCCACATTTTTTAATAAGCTTTCAGAAGTTCTTGAAAGACACAATTTTGAGCCGCAAAATATATATAACATTGATAAGTCAGTGCAAAAACCATCGAAAGTTATTGTGAAAAAAGGAACAGGTTGGGACTATTACGTCACAAGAACGTGGAACTCTAGTCACTATGTGCTTGGCCGTAAATGCTGTTGGTAATACAGTCCCACCAATGTTTGTCATGATTATTTTGTCAGAGATGGACCGGTTGGCTGTGTAAGTAGTGCAAATAAGTCGGGCTAGATGCAAGAGGAGAATTTTTTTGATATTTATGACCCACTTGGTAAAATATACCAAACATAGCGCCACTAATAAGATTTTAGTTCTACACGATAACTACGGTTCCCATTTATCCATTCCACTAATAGATTATTGTAGGGACAATTTTGTAACGCTGCTGTCATTAACACCCCCACGCGTCTCATAGGCTTCAGCCGTTAGATCGGGGCGTATTTGGTCATTTTAAAAAATATTTTAACAATGCAGGAGACCAGTTGATAAAAAACAATCCTGGTAAACGGATGAAAATATATGCGCTGCCTTCGATGATAAGAGAATCTCTTCCTCTAGCCACCACTCCAAAAAATATTATGTCTGGATTTTCTTGTACTGGAATCTGCGAGATCAACGACAATCATATTGCCTGAATCCATAAAACCTTATCAAAAAGGTGACTTAAACAGAAAAAGAGAGGTAGAGCTAAAGGAAAAACTGCGATATTGACTGACACTCCCGAAAAACTTGAAATTGAGAAACAAAGACCTAAAAAAAAGTTTATCTAAAGGAACTCTCAGAAATAAAACCTATCGAGAAAAGAAAAGGGAAGAAAAAACGGTTTAGCAACGAAAACCAGAGAAATGGATTTGGAGGAAACCTTTTGCTTAGTTTGTTCTGAAGTCTATTCTTCAAGTGTGGAAGATTGGTGTAAGCAGTGGGCTCATTTGAGTTGCACAAACAAAAATGTCTTTTATGTTTGCGTCAATTATGAATCCGACGATGACCTAGACTAAATATAATTAACTTTGTCCTGTTTTTGATCATAAATCTTATGTTTTGGGAAATAATTTTTATTTTTATTAGGTTTAAATATATTTTTTAGTTTTTTTATAAGTTTTTTTTTTAATTATTTATTTATTTTTGATTGGTATTTTGTTGTCTAGTTACGTTACAAATGACACCACCTTTGGTATAATCGACACCAATGTGGTGTCACTTGTAACATGGGTTCCTTTGATATATATGGACCTATAAAAAGTAGTGGGACCTAAAAATAATAGTTTTAAAAATAAAATATAAAAGAATAGATTTTGTTTAACATCTCAAAAAAGTTTTACCAAAAAAAAAATCTGCTAGTTCTTTGTCTCTCCCCTGAAGCTGCAAATTAAGTTCGTTTAATTTCTCTGTAATGTCCACGAGAAAACAAAAACCTCTAAGCCAGATTGAATTTTCTAGTTCCGGAGTCGGTTCATCGCGTTGTTTGAAAAATTGAACTATGCCAGATAGGACATCATTAAAACGTTTCAGCACCCGTCCTCTACTTAACCATCGGACTTCAGAGTGAAGAAGTAGGTCCCCGTATTGACAGTCAACTTCATCGGCCAAGGTTTTGAATAATCTTCTTTGTAACGCTTGAGCTCTAATCTTGTTCACAGTTTTTACCATCAGTTTCATAACTTTGTTTAGTTTCAGGAAATTTCCACATAATGCTTGCTGATGGATAATGCAGTGGTAACAGAGAAATTGCGGAAAAGTTTCATTTTTACGACATAACGCCACTAGACCTTTATCACAACCCACTATAGCTGGAGCGTCATCGGTTGTCAAGCCTACCATTTTCGATATTGGAATTTTCTCGGAAGAAATAATATTTTTTAAATGAGAAAACAACTCCTGTCCAGTAGTGTGTCCTTTCAGTGGAATAAACTTCAAAAGATCTTCTTTAATCGTAAAATCACTAAAAACCATTCTGACGAACACGGCCATCTGGGCAGTGTCAACGACATCTGTTGATTCATCCAATTGAAGTGAAAAATAAACACAGTTATCTAAGTCAGTTCTTAACTGTAAAAAAATATCATTGCTCATTACTTCTACACGTCTCATCACTGTATTAGCAGAAAGTTGCATAGATTTTATAGCTGAAACTATCTCGTCTTTATTTCTAAAGTTGGCAAATAACGAATCAGCAGCTTCTGTATTTATCATTTTTTATCATTTCCCCGTCTTCATAAGGTTTTTTTTTGTGCAATTATCTGGGACACACGGTACGATGCTTCAGTTGCAGCCTTATTTTTGTCGACTGTTCTTAAAAATATTGATTGTTGTCCAATTAACTGCTTGTTTAACTGTTTCAGTTTCTCCTTTCTGGCGACAGAATGTAGTGGGAATGATTTTTCAAAATTAGAATGTACAGTTTTATGTCTCTCAATATTTCCTTTTTTAGCAGCGGAGACCGAAGTATTACATAACAAACATAACTTCTGTAAAAAAGTATTGTTTTTCCTATTCCGAATGAAAGTGGTATGTCTTTACCTTCTTACAACTGCTTGCCATAATATTATTTTTTGTTGTTCTCTACTAACCCAACCGCTGGACGTTGGTTACGCGTTCAGTTTTAAACTAAGCGCAATGTCGCCGCGCCGTGCGTATTTATCCCGTTCAAAGCAATCCTGATCGTTCTCGAACACTAACACGCTGGTCCGGCTGGTCGGTTCTAGCCGATTCTAGCTTGATGGCGTCAGCGGCAGATCGCTCACCGCAACGTTGCCGCTGTTTATGTTTAATATTATGACAATTAGATTTTTTTGTGGAATTTTCGAAACCTTCTCTGATTTTTTCAGTTTGTATTTTTTAAATTAAAATCGTTGTGAGAGCTACCAGAATTGCCTCCGCGAGCTACCGGTAGCTCGCGATCGACAGGTTGGCGACCACTGCCCTAGGGGGTGGGTGGCTCAGTGGTAGGCTCTGCCTGTGGATCCAAGGGTCCCAGGGTCGAATCCCACCGTTGGCCGGGATTTTTTTAATTAATTTAATTATTTAAAATTAATTCTGATGCCTTGGTAGGATTCCCCACTCGACCATTCACTGTTGGGTTCTAATTAACAGTGCTGTTCCTAAAGTGGCGCAAGAAAACAGTAACAAAGCCTGTCTGTAGGGGTGTAGGAGTATTCGAGTATTAATACTCCTGCACTAAGGAGTATTAGACTACTATTACAATCCATAACCTACATAGAACACAATGCTAATGACCTTAGATGTTGAAGCCGTACACCAAAGAAAAACAAATACCAGTCTCCCCTACCTTTGACAGATGTAATGCATCATTGCCAAAATAAACAAAAGGGATCATTTAGTGTACTTTTAAAGAATTCGACATTTTAACTTCAAT